CATTAAACGACTGGTTGCAATTTACGTGTGTTGGAAGATTTGGGTGTATCTAGGAATCAAATGTTGTTTGAGTTAGTTTGGGGAAAAAAAAAAAAAAAAAGATAAGCATAAAAGATTCTAATTTTTTCCAGTTCTTGAAAACAACAGACACTGCAGCCAACGTGAGGCCCTGCGTTTTGTGGTGGACAAAAGGGGTTGGGAGTTGTTCACAGATCTACAAGGGGTTCCTGGGGAGGTGGCCTGACTGCAGTCTCTGTAGCAGCTGTTAACCCAGAAAACAGCCTGCACAATGGSAAATCYGCTGCAGTTGAGGGAATTTGGGAATGGCATTAACGATGGTGGTGGAGAAGTTAAGGGAGTTACTGGAATGGACTATTTGCTTAGTTCTTTTCAGCTGTTGTCCCGTTCTGCTCTGGGCACTTCTGCCCTTTGCTTTCTGCTTTTTGGGACCTTTTGGTGTATTTAAGTGAAAGCAGCTGGTCTTTAAATGAGAAATTATCTTTGGTGCACCCATGTATTGGGTACAGGCCTTGCCATATTACAGACCTTACCAAATTCCACCATTGTAACGATAGAACCTCAAGCAGGGCAGGCTTTATCCTGGAAGCTGGATATGCCTGGGGTGAGTGCATGTTGGGTGAATAAAGAGCAATTGTAGGGCACCCAGCTAATGGTCAGTGAAACAAATGTTCACAGCCATCACTTCCAGAGCCTCCACAGAAACTGAGGCTTTGGGAAAGAAGGCAATCCCGTTTGTACACGTGGGAGAGAAGCCGGAGGCAGGAGGTAACTGTGTTRAAACAGTGGTATTAATGTCTGATTTTAGTATTGGGGTCTGGAGACAGCGATTTTTTCAAATGCTTTTCTAGTGCTCGTTTTTCGAGTGTTTTTCACCTTCTGCATGTAAATAATGAAGAACTTGCCCTTTTCCTATCTGAAACGCAACCATTCATTCCCACAATATTTAAGAAGCCCTAATTTTGCCACAACCCCTTTTTGACAAGGTTATATGGTAGTTGATAAAGGCTCGTTTCGGAACTGAATGTTATTTTATGGCTAAGATAGCCGGGGACGTTCCGGGCGGGAAGCCAAACTAAAAACCCGTGCAGCGAAAGTACTTAGTCCCGGTCCTTTTTTTAATTCTAATGAAACTGGCTGACAGTGCTGAGGATGAATGGTGCGGGGCGGTCCGAAGGCGGTGCCGGGCGGCGGAAGGGGCGGGCGGTGCCGGTGACGCGGGGTCCGTCGGGACGGGGCGGTCGCTGCGCTGCGAGCGGCGGGGACAGCACGCGGCGCGGCCATGGCGGACGGGGATGGTGCGCAGCGGTGGGGACCGGCGGGGACCGCCGGCGGGGACGGGCACGGCCACGGCCACGGCCACGGGAGGGGCTCGGGGCTGGCGCGGCGCCGCTCGGGGAAGGGTCTGCGGGCGGCTTTGCTCCCTGGGCCTTTGCCCCTCTCCCCTCCCGGCTCTGCCGCGCTCCCGGCGCTCACTCCCSGCGTGTCGCTCTCGCAGGTTCCAGCGTGAAGAAGCGGCGGAAGGAGAAGAAGCGGGCGCTTTCCGATGATGATGTAGCGGTGAGCGCGGGGCGGGGGGCAGATTGCTCGGGCCRTGCTGTTCGGGGTGTCGGGGGGCTCCCCCAGCCTGGTCCGTGGGGACGCGTTGCGGGGACCGTGGGCAGGGCAGGGACGGGCTCTCCCTGGCCGTTCCCGGCGGGAGCGCGGCCGTTCCGTGCGGTGGATGCGGTGCGTGGCGCAGCGGAGCCTCCCGGGCCACGTGGAGCGGGCGCGGGGAGCGGCGGGAGCGCGGCCCGCCGGGCTTCCCCTCCCTGATCCCGCTTAACTTCACCCCGCAGGACATTCAGCACACCGAGGACTTTCTGATCAAGCCCGAGTCCCGCGTGCCCCAGCTGGACACGTCGCAGTGGCCCTTGCTGCTGAAGGTAGGGCGCTTCTGCTCAACCTCGTGGCCCGTCCGTGTTCCCGCTCCTTTTGTCCTCCGCCCCGGAGGTGGAACCGCTGGGTAACCCCGCTGCAGGGAGCAGCGCACATGGTGCCCTGCATGCAGAAATCCTGTTGGAAATCTATCCAGCAGTATAATTTACGTTTTGTAACTTTTGCACGCCTTATAAAAACCCCGCCATAGGTATTAAATTTTTTATTTAAGTCTGACCATGGCCTGTAGTCTGTGTAGATTTCCACAGTTGCTTCTGCTCCGTTTTGGGGCCATATTGGATTTATCCTGCATTGTAAATGTGTATATTGTGCTGCTTTCCCATCTCTTATCAGTCCATGATTTGTATTKTTCTCTGTTTTTGTAAAATATTACCATGGTTTCCTTGTTGGGTCATTTTAATTTTGGAAATGGCTCTGTCGTTTAAATATACAAATCACAGCTGGGGTGATGTACTGCCGCACAGCAATACTGAAACAGAGTGAGCTGRAGAAGACTTGTAACTTCTGCTTTGATTTTGTAGAACTTTGACAAGTTGAATGTGAGGACAACACACTACACGCCTCTTCCCTCCGGTTCTAATCCTCTGAAGAGAGAAATTTCTGACTATGTTAGGTGAGTGCAATACAGGCCAGAGTGGTTTATTTTTCTTTCACAGTCAATACCTTTAAAATATTTTCTGTGTGAATTCCTATCGTACCTTTCTACTTGACTCAGTGTGTTGCCACTATTCAGTAAACTTGTAAATAAGTCCCACAGGTCTCTCCCGGTAAAGTTTCGTGTTCTGGTGGGTCTGTGGATGAACGACCACCTGAGGAATTCTCTGGGTTCTTTAGAATAAAGTCCCTAGRCCTGCTAGGSTTTGAGACTGTTTGGAGTTTGTRTAGTTTGGGTTTTTTTAAGTGCAGRGCAATGATAAGCAGGTGGGGGAGAAAAGAATTCTTTGACCATGGMATATATCACTTGTTTGTGGAGCAGGTCAGTGTGGGCTCATAGAGCTGCAGGGAGGCTCATTTCTTATCTGGCTGTGTAGGAATACATTTTGCAGCAAAGTTTTAAGATTGCTGCACTGTTGCTGTCTTTGCCCTGATGCTTAGCTCCCGTTTCCATCTTGCACCACAGGTCTGGCTTTATTAACCTCGACAAACCCTCCAATCCATCCTCTCACGAGGTGGTTGCGTGGATCCGGCGCATCCTGCGAGTGGAGAAGACAGGGCACAGTGGCACTCTGGATCCCAAGGTGACCGGGTGCCTCATTGTGTGCATCGAGAGGGCAACACGGCTGGTCAAATCTCAGCAGAGCGCAGGTATGTTTACTGCCCAGGGCCCTTTACAGTGACTGGGAATGTGTGAAGTGCTTTTGGAGACAAAATGGAAATTTCYAAAGCTTAAAAAGGCCAATCTTGGTTTTCAGTGCCTTGACCTTAAGGGTTGCATGTTACTCTAAGCCACTGAGGACACATCCATGTTGTCTCAGGCGGCTTTTTTTATTGCTTCTCTGGTGCTTGGGCTGTTATAAGTTAGGAAAACAATTGTGACATGATTTTATGTACTATTTGAACTTAGGGCCTCAGCTTCTACCAAAGAAGAAATAAACATAGCTTAGATTTACTTCCCTGGAAGAATAAACAACTGTAATAAACTGTGCACACTTTCTAGAAGAGGTGGTTATTAAGACATCAGGGTTCTGGGGATGTGTGTCTGTGAAGCARTGTGGGCCTTGAGGTCAATATCAAATGCAAGTGGCCACTCCTGACTGCTCTTGTCATTGTTTCAGGCAAAGAGTATGTGGGAATTGTTCGGCTGCACAATGCCATTGAGAGTGAGGCTCAGCTGGCCAGGGTAAGTCTCATGTGCTCTCAGCCATGTTGGCATCTGGCAGGCAGAGTCCTGGGCACTGCTGGGAGATGAGGGGTCAGGAAAGGAGCTCAGGTGTGCTGTGTGTGAGGTGATGACACAGTTTATCCATTCTCTGAGTGCAGTGGTGCTGCCCTCCTGCACCACCCCGATTCCTGTTCTAGGGTCTGGGTGCTGTGCAGCCTCCAGACATCCTGCAGTGTCCCAGTGTCCTGCTGGGGGCTGCTGTGSTGTGTGGCTGGCTGCYTGCAGGAGGGGAGCAGTGCTGGCAGGGTTGGAGCCCCTCTTTKGGSGCTCCATCCTCACTGGGACGAGGGATRGTGTCTGATCACATGCTTGCCATCTGATGGAAAAATCCTGGCTGTGCTCACTGGCATCTTGACCACATYTCTGGTTTGAATTTGCTTTATTAAATATGGCATCACCAAATCAGGATAAACCTTGTGGTTTCTCACTCTTGRAAGTGGTCACAGTTGCTTGAAACTCCAGGGTGTGCCTCCTTTTGGGCACAGGTGTGACCTCTTGCTTCTCTTTCCTCCCTCAGGCCATAGAAACTCTGACAGGTGCCCTATTTCAGCGGCCACCCCTCATTGCTGCTGTCAAACGACAGTTGAGGGTTAGAACTATCTACGAGAGCAAGCTGGTGGAGTATGATCCTGAGAGAAGATTAGGTAAAACAGGGCTTTCCTACCTTCTTCCTATCAAGCTGACAACTGATAAAATTTTCTGTGAAATGCGCTGCTTTAAATTCTTGGGAGATGTCTTTAAGACCTGAATCYTCCCCATTGTCCAGCAGTAACTGCTTCATGCATTCCCTTGGTGTGCTGAGAAATCCCAAGTGTTTTTGTACTCCTGAATCTTTCATGGAAGAGCCAAATGATGTCAATGAGATGGCATTAGCTCTCARGGCAAAGATGACCCTCATCTATCACCCTATGCTGATGGCTCTGGGAAGGGCTGGGCATACAGCTTCTCTTGAAGGATGTGGTTAATTTTCTGTTTAAAAACTCTCCATCCTGTCATGCATTGCAGGTATCTTCTGGGTGAGCTGTGAAGCAGGCACCTACATCCGAACCCTCTGCGTTCACCTGGGGTTGCTGCTGGGAGTGGGGGGCCAGATGCAAGAGCTCCGCAGAGTCCGCTCGGGCATCCTGGGAGAGATGGTACAGTGGCACCTCAAACTATAGCCAGCCCTTTTGAAAYTGCCAGAATGGCAAGAGTTCCTTGGGACTGTCTGGTTTTTACAGTGTTAGGAGAAGGTTTAGGCTCTGGGAGGAGTTTTGTGAATAGCCCCCCCCCATAGGAGCTCTTGCCATAGATTGTCTGAACCAAAGTGTTGAGTTCAGTTCAGGATGCTGCTCCTGTTCTGGTAATTAAACTTTGGGACAGCGAGTGACTGGGAAGTGCACTGTGGTGGCTGAAAGTTTGTTTTATGTCACCTGTGTTTCTCAGCCTACAGACCTCATGTGTCCCACAAGTTCACGAATGTGAAGTGACTGCTTGGCATCAGCACAGCTCAGGGAATGTGGTTCATTGAAATGAGCCTGGAAGATGCAGYCTTGTGTGAGCTTGGACACTTGTACAGTCTTCTCACTCTGGTCATAGACAGATCCTGCTCCTGCTCCAAAGTCCAGAACTAATTTCTTTCTTTGCAATGCAGCAGTATCAGAGTGCWAGTGCTTCCCCACCCATCTCTGCTCTTAGCACAGCTGTAGTTACTGGGTCATTTCTGAATTCCAGGTTTTGGGTGCTCACAGCTGCCTCAGAATTTATTCCATGTCATAGAATGAAGAGCTGGTTAATTTAGACTTCTGCTGACTAACCTTTGTCTAGGAGTCCCAGGAATTTAGATTTAGTCATATTTAAAAGTTAAATGTGGACAGACCTTAGACCCTGGAYCCAAGTGCTGTCTGAGATTAGGAAGGTTAGAGTCTGGTAGCATAAGACAGGCTAATCTCAGGCTGCTGATGGGAAGTATTCTTAATGCTTTTAGGTTGTGTTTTGATGCTTGTGGTGGGCACCTGTTTTTACTCCCTTTTTCCAACTGCTGTTGGACTTCAGCTATTCTCTTGTGCGTGTTCCAAGCTGGTGGCTGGTGGAAGAGTTTAGAAGGGTTTTTGTCTTTGCAGGACAACATGGTGACCCTGCATGATGTGCTGGATGCTCAGTGGCAGTATGACAACCACAAGGACGACAGCTACCTGCGGAGGGTCATCCTGCCCCTGGAGAAGCTGCTGACTTCACACAAGAGGCTCGTCATGAAAGACAGCGCGGTGAGTTCTGTGCCAGTGGACAGAGACTGCAGAGTGTCCTCCTGACTTGTGCAGCTGATAGAATATACAGGGTATCAGGAGCCACGTGGTGTCCAGTGGTGTCCTGATGGTGACTTGGGTAGAACCTTGTATGGGCTGTTGCTAGAACAGCAGGAATATGAGTTAAACAGCAGGAGTCATGAGTTAAATAACAGAGAATCTAATCTCCTCGCTTGAGGAGGATGCTGATGGTTATGAGAGATCTGCCTAACCCATTGTTTGCTGTTGTAGGTGCTCTGCTTTCTTCCTAAGCCCCCAAGTTTTATATAGTGGAGAGAAAGGAATAGATACTTAGGGATGATATTGCTGGGATGGTAATGATAGTGGGACACTAAAAATTAGAGACACTTGAATCTCATAATAGCTTACAGGCCGTCCCATTCCCTCCATTTTCAGGTTAATGCCATTTGCTATGGAGCCAAGATCATGCTGCCTGGTGTTCTGCGGTATGAGGATGGTATTGAGCTTAATCAGGAGATTGTTGTCATCACCACGAAAGGAGAAGCCATCTGCCTAGGTATGAAATGCCTCATTCTCTTTGTGCCCATCTAACTGCAGAAATAAGGTTTGTGACAGTAAAGGCACCACAAATGAGTTCCCACAAATGAGTGCAGAAGGTTTGGTTAGTGCTTCCTGAGGGGGAATGTGGGCCCAAGACAGCTGTTTTTGGGCAGGATGTTAAAAAACAGCAGCTGGACCARTCCTGGGCAAGGTGTGAAGCATTTAGCAGCTGTGCAATGCCCRGGTGTGCTGTGTGTGAGGTGATGACACTGTTTATCCATTCTCTGAGTGCRGTGGTGCTGCCCTCCTGCAGCACCCGATTCCTGTTCTAGGGTCTGGGTGCTGTGCAGCCTCCAGACATCCTGCAGTGTCCCAGTGTCSTGCTGGGGGCTGCTGTGCTGTGTGGCTGGCTGCCTGCAGGAGGGGAGCAGTGCTGGCAGGGTTGGAGCCCCTCTTTGGGGGCTCCATCCTCACTGRGATGAGGGATGGTGTCTGATCACAAGCTGCCACCAGGCACGTCACAGTGGTAGATCAGTGCAAAGGGACTCCTTCAGCATCTGCCAGCTTGGTTGGAAAGTCAGAGGGTATCCAGTTCTAACCAGGGTGTTSAGGGAAGCTGTGTGACAGTGCCAGCGAGTCCTTGGGGTGACACTGGTGGGGGGTATTGGCCATCTTTGCGCTGACAGAGGCAAACAGGCTGTCACAGTTCTGTGTTTCAAGAGTTACTGACCTCCCTGCCTGCTTCTGCAGCCATTGCCTTGATGACCACAGCAGTCATTTCTACTTGTGACCACGGCATTGTGGCAAAGATCAAGAGAGTGATCATGGAGAGAGACACATATCCCCGRAAATGGGGGCTGGGCCCCAAGGTGAGTGCTCTGGGCATGTGCTCAGTCCCAGGGCAGTGGTGGGAGCCCAGCTCTGKGGGGTGTGGGACTCTGGGACCGTTGGGCAGAGCTGTGCCTGTGTGTTCTCCAGAGCCTTGGTGTAATTCTGCTGTGTTCTCCTGGAGCCATGATGGTGGCAGGGCCCAGCTGGGGCCCCTGCTGGTGTTCAGCCATGGGCTCCTCAGGTCTCTGCAGCACCAGCCCTCCTCTAGTGAAGAGCCAAATGATGTGAAATGGATGGCATTAGCACTCTGTGCCAAGATGACCTTCATCCATCACCCCATGCTGATGGCTCTGGYGGGGCTGGGCAAGAGCTGCTTTTCCTTCTAGAACAATGCTGCTTAAATGCACACTGTCCTGTGAGACATGAACTGTGCCTGAAGGACAGGAGCAGTGGAAACATCCGTTGCTGGGTTCCTCTCCCACCTCAGGCGTGTGGTGGTAGTTTCCCTGCAGTCGGGCTGGCCTGATGCAGGTTGGACTTCAAACTCAATGTCACATCACTGTGGCTCATTCCATTCCTGTGGTTCAGCTGAAAGCTTTGGGGATGCCTGCACATTTGTCTTATGGCAAAGGTGGGGTAATGCAGGGCAGTTCAARCATCTTGGAATCCTGCAAACCAAGCGGTTCTGCTCAAATGCTGCAGGTCATTAAGCTGAAGAAACCCAGTCAAAGATCTAAGCTCCATGATGTGGAGAGTCATTACTCTGTTTCTGTGACTTCCCCCTCAAATTAGCCATTATTTACTGATCAGGGTGCCTCCTGTCTGAGATTTAGGGTGCTGTGCAGGGGATGTTTTGTCTCGTTTGTTTTAATGTCCTTGGAACAGTGTTAAATAGATAATGCTGCATTTGTTGGCTTGGCTTGTTCCTGGATTCCCTCCTCTTAGCTTGAGGGAGGATTTTCCTTCCTGGAGCTGCAGTTTGACTTGTTGCACTTTGCTCTCAGGCCAGTCAAAAGAAGATGATGATCCAGAAGGGTCTGCTGGACAAGCACGGAAAGCCCAATGAGAACACACCAGAGTCCTGGAGGAGGGAATATGTGGATTACAGGTGGGTGCTGGGTGTGTGGCTCCTGCAGGGTGTTCAGAGGGAGCACTGTGCAGCAGGGGCTGGGCTGGGTGCTGCTCTTCGTGCATGGATCGTGTTAGGCTTGGCCCAGAGCTGTCCAGACCTGTGGGATGCATTTCTTGGAGTGTATTCCTGTTGGGCAGTGTTGGAAGGAAAGGCCCTGAGCAGATAGTTATCCCTTTTTAACCTGCTGTGGTTTTAGAGGGAGTCAGTCTGCTAAATTAAATGGGGGTGCCCTTGCTGCTACCCTGCTCAGCTGGCTCTGGTGCAGGCTGCAGGTCACCCCCACACCAACTTTCCCACCCAGCTCTGGGCTGGGTTAGGAGCTCTGGTGAGGGGACAGGGGTTTGTGCCTGTCCAGAGCAGCACGAGGCAGTGACTGTCCTGTGCAGCCTGGGGGTCTTTTCTTTCAGGGATGCTTCCAGGAAAGAAGCAGCTGCTGGTCACCAAGCTGCTCCAGAGGTGGACAGGGCTGCAAAAGTGAGTATTGCCAGTGCTCTCAGGCTCTTACTCTACACCTCTGTTAGTTCCATGATCTGCACACACCTTGCACCTGACTTTTGGTCCAGTGATGATTTTTAGTCCAGGGTCTTCCATGTCTTTTGTTAGGCACGAGGTCAGTGCCCATTCACATCTCTTCCCCTGGGGCTCCAGCAATTTCCCACCACCCAGGACATAATTTGCAGCTCARTTACCAAGATGTATCAGCCCTGGGCATATTCTTTGACACAGCTTCCAAGAAACTATATTGTGTGAAGCCACAATAGAGGTTCGTTTTGCCATAGAACATTTTTGGAGACTGCAGACAGTTGCAAAAATGTCTGTGCAAGAATTGCATCTACAGTTCCAGAACTCAGGGTTTTTGCATGCTCTTAGAAAGGTGCAACAGTATTTTAAACTAACATTTGGGGTACAGGAAACACTGAAAAATACAGGGGCAATGCTGGCAGAAGCAAATCTTACACAGTGTATGCTGGAGGGGATCCCTGACAGTCTGCAGGTCACAGAAAAAGAAAATTGGATTGAATCAGGCAAAATAGTTGGAATGGGCTTGCAATCACTTTCCCCTCACCTGAGCTGCGTTGGAAGATGTTGGTGTGTCTGACAGCGTGTTCCCCTCACAGAGGAAGCGAGACTCGGAGAGTGAAAACGATGAAGCTGTGATCCCACCGTCCCCTGCCACCCCACCACCAGAGGAGCTGAGCAAAAAGGAAAAGAAAAAGAAGAARAAAGAGAAGAAGGCCAGAGAGGCAGCTGAGAGTGGGGGAGACGAAATAGAAGTGGTATGTGACTGACCACTGCCATGGTACAGTGCAAACATGGGAGAGATTGCTGTCTGTCCCTGATTGCCTGCAGGATTAATGCATCAGCAGCCTCTGTGCATATCCACAGAGTGCCAGGCTCCCCACAGCAGAGGGAGATGTGTTTAAACTGAACTGGCTGAGGGTGAGAGGTGAGGGAGATAGGGCAGGTGAGGTTTGTGGGGGTGAATGGGCAGTGGGACAGGGATGGGCTGAGCAGCCATCGGTGCCCCAGGACAGCTGGTGGGTTCCTTCCAGGCCATCTCTGCCCTGTTGTGGGTCCTGTGGGAGCAGGGTGCTRGCATTCAGTCTGTGCTGGAGCATTGTGTGGTGGTGAAGAAGCACTGAAGCCGTGGGGAGCCCTCACTGCTGCTGGGGTGGGGCTGTTCCACTGRAATGAGCACTGGGGGATTCCTTTTTGACGGCATCCTGACCTTTCCAACCTCTCCACAGACCACTGAGACCAGCACCAAGAAGAAAAAGAAGAAGAAACATAAGGAGGTAGTAGAAGAGAGCTCGGAGTAAACAACTGGATCTGTCCAAAGCAGGCAACCTCATGAGTAAGGAGAGAGATTTAGGCCTTGAGAAGAAGACTGGCTGTGTGGCAGACGAGCCAGCAAGTTCCAAGTTCWGTTCTGCCGTTCATATGAGTGAGTGGGTGTTTGCCCTGCTCAGGAGCCCCTCCTCATCCTGTTTTAAGGGTTGCCAGAGGAGCGGGGTGCCCCCCTATCCCTGCACTGGATTGATCTCTAAAGCTGAGCACCRTGATGCCAACAGAGGTGGTGTCTTCAGGGAAACCTTTGGCTCTTCCCTGGTGTGTTTTCAGCTARAGAGGGTGGAATAATCTTTCTCCCCCCTCGCATACTGCGTCTGTTTTCCCTTTTCTTCCAAGGTTGAAGCTGTTACCTGACAGTTAGAGAATGTGTTGCTGCCTGGAGGAGTGGCTTTGTCGCAGCCCCAGTGAATGGGTTTGCATGGGGACAGTCAGATCAGTTCTTTTTGAAGAACTCTGCTTTGTTTTGACCTGGCCACACGCTTGGCTTGACCTTCGGCTAAATGAGAACAAATAGTCCACCCAGGTTTCCACTTTTTTTTTTTTTTTTCAACCTTTATCACGGAAGGATTAGAAAATTTAATTCCTCAATTTTGCTTTATAGCACAAGGATGTGCTTGTTCATTGTGTGCTGATCCCCAAGCCCAGTGCCTGGGTGGCCTGGGCAGTGTGTACCTCCTGCTGGCTCTTGCACTTCTCTACCCCTTTGTTGAAATTTGTTGGAATTCTCTACCCATGTTGGCACTGCAGGGCTGTTGATTGCCTTGCCTGGTTTCAGTGCTCAGTGTGCTCTGAAGGCTGGAGGTGAGGATGTTGCTGGGGGGCAGAAGGTGACCGGGAGGTGACTGACCAATGTGTTTTTCATGCTGCTGGGACTGGAGTCCTTGTGAGGAAAAGCTTGGTCAGAGCAGCTCCGAGGGGCATTGGGTGTGGGGCTTAAACGGTTTCAGATAAACTTTGGTTGCTAACTTCCTTATCTGGAATGACTTCTGGGGGCAGAAGGTCTCTCCTCTGTCACAGGGGTAGTGCTGAGCCATGATTTAGCTCCTTTCAAGGGGAAGGAGCCCAGGCTGTTTTGTTCTGTTTGATCCCTGCAGAGATTCTGTTAACTGTGGGTTTAACCTCGTGCATTGCTTTTGTCCTAATGGTCTATCATCCCCTCCAGTGCTGGAGATTCATGCAAGCAGTGGGGACAGCAGCTGGTGGGTGTTACAATCTGAGCAGAAAAAGGTCCATTTTTATTTACTCTTTTTTACAAAAATAAATAAAAAGTTCTGGTTTTGAATGGCTCATTTTCTTGCTCCTCTGGCTCCTCCTGAGAGATCAGTGATGTTCATGGGGCAGGGGGGAGCTTTTACCACATCCCAACCTCTGTGCTCCTCCTGAAGAAGCTGCTGGGGCACAGAAATGGTCACATTGACCATCACTAGAGGGGTTTTTGTCATTGCTCTGTSGGTGCCCAGCCTGAGAGGTAAAACACCAGCCACGGCAATGTTTCAGCGCACATTTATTGCTGCTTATTGTTTCCCTGCAGTGGATCAGAACGAAGGTCCCTATTGCACATAGACTTTTTTTATTTTTGGCATCCTTAAAAAAAAAAATTGCACGAGACTTTATAACCACCTTCCCCTTGCCCCTATAGCTGACTGAACACACAAATGAGATTTTTCACCTACATGGTGGATGTGTTTGGCCCAGGAGACACGGTGACACTTCCCAGACGTGGTGGTGTGGGGTTTGTGAGTCAGCACAAACCCTGTGCTGAGTGAGCATGGCTTTCATGTTTGCATACAGTGTGTGAGACACCCTAGACTGGAAAACATGCCTGGATGATCGTTGTAGAYACTTCTCTACTGCATGCAACAGATAGTCGTGGCTGGATGTAATTATTTACCCTCTGAAGAGTCCCTCTGGGGTTTGGTCTGTGGGACTGGCTCAGCTGCTGCCTGGTTGCTCTGGCCAGGCAGTAACAATCCAAGCTGCACGGTGAGAATTTCTATACACAGAGTTTTTACACCTATGGCTAAACAGGGTGAATCAGAAAACTCCAGCCTGGGAACACGGGGTGAGGCTGCTTGGGGGTGCTCCGTGCCACATTCATCATTTCCCCACTGGTGAGAGAGGAAACCCTTGGATGTACGAGCTTGGGTGTGGTCTGGGAGAAGCTTCCTAAGCTGTGAGCTTCCTTGAAGCCTCATGGACACGGAGAAGGGTTTTGATCTGTGTGCACTCCTGCCCTGACAGGAGACGTGCCTGGAAAGCCCCTGTTCCGCCACTGCAGGGMAGATCAGCCCGGTGCCACAGCAGGATGTGCTTTCCCTTGCCTGGGAAGGGCAGGGAGCTGTGCTCTGTGAGATTACCTGGGCTCTGCTGTAGCCACTGACCTGCCCTGCAGTGCCACAGGAGATGGCTGGACCCCAAGGAGCCTCTGTCCTGTGTTAGTTCCCCCAGGAGAGGAGCTCTGGGCACCCTCTGTGTGTGTGTGTCAACCGAGACCATGTCCGTGGAGCAGCAGAGGAGGGTTTTTGTGCTGGGCTCTGGGGCAGGGGAGGCTTGAGGAGGTGTTTCCCAGTGGCTGCAGGATGGTTGATGGGAAGCGGCCGGGCTCAGGCACCCTCTCAGTAGACCCAGGAGACAGGCACCCACTGTGGAGAGCTGCAGGCCTGCTCAAAGGCTTCCTGCAGCAGCTGGAGGCTCTCCTCCACGCCGTTGTTGACCAGGGACAGGTCGAAGTAGTGCGCGTAGCGGCTCCGGATGCTCTCCGAGTCCTTGCGGAGCTGCTGCARGGCCTCCGACTGCAAGAACAGGACAGTGCTCAGCACAGGAACTTCACAGCCCACCCCAACCTGCAAACACCCTCCCACCACTACAACAGCTTGAGTGGTTGTGAATTATCAGGGCACAGAGCCTCCCTGCAGCTTGTCCGATRGCCAGGAGCTGCTGAGCAATCTCTGGGCTTGTGTCTGGGGCTTTTGCTGGAGTTCGTGTGGTGCTGGGAGCATCAGGTGACCTGCTAGAGTGAGCCAGACCTGCTGGGTCTCATATTTACCTTCAAAATGCTCTGTGGCAGCTCCCAGGGAGAAGTTTGCCATGCAGCAGGCTGCTCAGTGCTCTRGTGGGCACTGTCACCAGCTCCAGGCCTCAGGCTGGGGAGGATCCCTGCGGGATGCTCCCTTCCCACTGGCTTTTGACCAGAACAGCACCAGGCAGAGCTTTACTAGCCTTTCCCCTGGTTTTGKCTGTTTTTTTAGTGATGTACTTTAATAGTAGAAGCCAAGCTGCCTCTCCCCTCCTGTATGGGCAATCCCAGGGGTCCCTCCCTGGGCAGCTCTGCCCCCAGCACGGAGGTCCAGACCATTTCCACAAGTTTCTCTAATGGAGCTTGAAAGACAGGCAGCTTCTGTGCCTGGGCAGGAGGAATAGCTTGGGGTGCAGTGCTCGCTGAGCTCTGCTCTGTGCAGATATTAATAGACCTAAACTGGTATTATTAGATTATATTAATTATCATATCTATTACATAATTGTATCTATTATTAAGAGATTAAACAGACCTAAAAATATATTAATACACCCAAAACAGACCTGTCTTTAAATGTCCTTTCCTTTTTTTTTTGTTAGACCACCAGGAATAGATCACAGCACCGAGAGCTTTAATGGTCAGCACTAAAGTATGACTACAGCAGTAATATTTGCAATACCACACCCTCCCTCAGRGCACAGCAGGCTTCTGTCTTTAAGGTGTTCAGTTCAACACTGACAAACTTTAAATATAATTAGCAATTACCCTAGGGACAAAGAAAAAAAAATATACTGCTTAGCTACCTTCATCTTGAAAGAGTTACTGAAAATATTCATCTATTCTAAAATTAATTTTTCCTATCTTGTGGATGAAGCCAGCAGCTGTCGGGGGTGGATTGAGAGGGGAGGGCAAGGAGCAGTTTCTGCGAATGTGAGCTCTGCGGGGTCACATTAACTCTGCCGCATCCCTTCCTCAGAGTGAGCAAGCTGCAGGGTTATATTTAGTGCCTGGCAGCAGAGCTGGCCCTGCCCACTGCAGCAGGATTGGATTCCTCCCTGGATGGAGGCAGCGGTGAGGGACAGAGAGTGGCCCTTTCTGCTCTCAGACCTGTCCCCTTCCCCTCTCCCCAGCCTGTTGCATCAGRCAGTTAATGTGCCTGTAAATATCTGCACAACACTTATCTGAAGGTTGCAATAAATACCCTCTCTGCAAACCATCTGTAGCTTTGTCTTTACAAACTTAATATATTGGAAGAGGTGGCCACTGAAACCAGGAGGAGCTCAGCTCTGGGTTTTCCTGCTGGCTGGTTTAGTGCAGGGTAGGCAGCATCCCTGCATCCAGGGGTTTTTCTGGGAAGGGGCAGCCTGTGGGTGCCAGCCCTGTGCTTGGCACTGAGTGAGTTAACGGCACTATCAGTGCTGCTTTCATCCTCACGTTAGAGGGATCAGCATCCTAATGAGGCAGAGAATGAAAGGAGGCTTGTGTGTGTGTCTATTTGCATAGCTGATGGCAGAATAAATGGTCCTGCCCCGCTGCTGGGCTGTGCTCCCCACTGTGATTATGGGATGGGAGTTGCTGGGAACACAGCTGCAGGAATTGGCAGTGCTGCTTTCTCAGGTCTGGGCTGAGTTCAGGACCACCAAAAGCAAGGCAGACAGGAATGAGCTGGTGGGGAGCAGGGAGAGAGCCCTGGGTTGCTGCAGCAGGCACTGCCATGGGCTCACAAGCCCAGCTGGAGAGGGACAGGAGGGGACACGCTGCCACTCACCTCCTCAGCCTTGTCTGTSGGGGCAATGAAGACGATGAACGGGGAGAGCTCGGCCGTGCGGACGATCTTGAGGGTCTGGAGAGAGGGGTGCAGTTAGCAGAGTGTGGCCCTTCCCCAGGCTGGGAGCAAGCACAGCTGGCTGGCTGCTGTCCCCCAGCCCCCCTGTGCCCCCAGCCAGGCTGCCACGGTGCCTGTGATGCAGGGGGGCTACAGGRGACACCCCTCGTTGGGGACACTGGRTAGGGTCCCTGMACCCTGCTCCCACAGCAGCCTGGCCGTGGCTTTGCTGTCACAGCCAGGTCTGTGCTGTGACAGRGAACACCCTCATTGTAGCCATGTCCTGGGAGTGGAAATGCCACCCCAGGGCTTGCTGGCTTTTTCCTTCGGGAAGGGAAGGCAGGGAMAGTGACAGCCAGCACCCAGGCAGTTCCATTTCTGGCAGCCCCTGTCCTGCCCACACATTCCCCTGCTCCCTACCTGGGGCTCAATGTCCAAAATAGCGACTTTGTCCTGCTGGTGGATCTTGTGCACAGTTTCAAACTTGGTGCCAAACATGTTTCCCTGGTAGCTTCCAAACTCCAAGAACTCATTGGCTGAGATGTCCCGGGTCATCTCCTCGGTGGAGACAAAGTAATAGTCCTTCCCATCCACCTCATTCTTCTTCTGGGGGCGTGTGGTGTCTGGGRAGGAAGGCACAGAGAGAGTGAGTGCAGGTCCCCAGAAGGAAAGGGAAAGAGTAGAGGAGCATCAAAACTAAGCTGTACTAATCCCTGTTAACTGCYTCCTGCTTTGGACAAGCAGGGACCTCGGCCAGGTGGGGACAGGCACGGGGTGAGAAGAGTGAGGTGTCTGTGTGTGGGTGGCAGCAGCCCTGCAGCCTCTGTGGGTGAAGGGGGTCCATGGGGGACAGCAGGCAGGGAGRCCCTCTGATTTCAGGGCCTTGGTGGTGCTGGAGGAACATCTCCCCACCTCTCATGTGCTGTCCTGAATCAAAGAGGGGACAGGAAATGCATCCTGTGCTGTGCCCTCCACGCTGGCTGGGTACTTACATGGCGGTGGGTACATGAACTTGTCTGGGTTGTTGCTGAGCAGAGCATTCTTGATGTGGCTGCGGCCCACACCGCTGGCCCCTGCAGAGAGAGAGATGGACTCTAAAGCTGGGCTCAGAGCAGCCTGCTGGGAAGTGCTGGGGCCCCTCCACAGCTCTGGGTCTGAGGAAAGGTGCAGAGCTTGGCCTGGGCTTCCCTGCCAAGATGTGCTTTCTGAGCTGCTTTGTGGTGTCCTCCAGCCCTGGCAGAGGCTCTCTGTGCCCGGGGGATGCTCACCCCCAGCCCCAGCTGCAGACAGGACTGCTGCTTGCTGAGCAGCCAGCCTGGCTGGACTTGGTGGGCTGCCCATGCCCCTGGAATCCACCACCACGTGCTCAGTCCCCACAGCGTGGAGTGCTTGCTTTGGTGCAGCTGCACACACCAGAGCTGCTTTTATCAGAGATTTTCCA